AATTACATAAAGGTGCTAAAGAAGGAAATGAGCTTAGTATGATGCCCAAGCTTTGAGCTGGAAGAACAAGCAGAAGGCAGATGTCATTCCAGAGATGGGGGAGATTGTAAAGCAGGTCAGAGAAAGGAAAGTGAAAGTGTAATCTTGGCCAAGTTAAGCCTGAGATGCCTACCAGACATCTTCATAGAAATTTCAAGGTAGGACTTGGTCGTTGAGGAAATGAAGACCTGAGTAATGAGGGTTTAAGAAATTACCGATGACTATCATGCATTGAATTTGGGAAGATCTCCTAGAGAAGGAAATGGCAACCCACTCCAGTGTTCTTCCCTGGAGAATCCCATGGACAGAGGAGCCTGGTGGGCTACCGTCCATAGAGTCACAAAGAGTCAGACACGATTGAGCAACTGAGCACACTGAGTTTGCACTATGTGGCAGGCACTGCTGTGTTTTACACACATGTTCTCTGCTAATCCTCATAATGACCTTATTGCATTATTATGACTATTTTACAGCAAAGGAGATTGAAACCTAGGTTTAGATCAATCGCTCAAGGGTGCAGAGTACAGTCTACGTTTGCTTTACTCCAATTGTGATTTTAGCTACTGTTTTATATTGCCAAGGGGAGTGTGGGCAAGAGGCAATAAAAATGTTCCAGGCAGAAGGAACAACATATGCAAAGAAGAAGGGCCAAAGGGAACCTGGCATCTTCTGGAGACTTTCGAGCACAAGGAAGTGGTTGGTAACCAGCCTCCAGTGAACTAATGCTTGTGTGATACTTTGCAGTGTTAGAATTGTTCTCAGAGGCACACGTATTGCTCTCTGTGAGGCAGGGAAATGTTTTTATTATCACTATTCAATGAGTGGAGAAAGAGGCTTACAGAGCTAAGTTCACAAATTTGGTCAATTGTGAGCTAAGGTTTGACCTTGGACTTCTTTTGCCAAGACTTAGAATAATTTTTACATTTCTGAGTACTTAAAATATTTCTGGGGACCCATTTAGGAGCTGGAGAAATATACACGAGGTTACATGTATGTTGTTACCAAAAAGCCATGGAAATTGGAACAGAATTTCCAAGATAGAAATAAGTGATATGAAAGACAATGAAAATAATAGCTGTCATACTTAAACACCGAGGATGTACCAGACACTGCACAAGGATCTTTACAATTGTTTATTAATTTTAATCTCACAAGAACTGAAACGGAGATTTCATTATCATCTCAGTTGTAGAGATAAGGAAACTGAGGCTGAAGGAGACTAAAGCAACTCACTGGAGATCTTTATACTGGCAGGATGGAGCAAGAGGCAAGAAATGAACGTGGCTGTCTGAAACCAGAGTTCAGACTCCTGACAGGTTGGTCAGGAGGCATTGCTGTCTTGGCAGTACTTTATTGTTTGCTTTTGTAAAGTCTAATGTGAAATTAGTGACACCAAGGAGGTCCTCATGAGTGTGAAATTATTTTCTAAATCACAGCAAGGTATGGATTTGTGTTCACCTGTCCTGAACGGTTTTCACCCTGTTTTTTTTTTTTTTGCACATGCTTTTATCACAGCTTAAGACAGCAGATGGCCCTCTTGCGTTTTTTTTCATTGCCTCCATCTGTAAACAACTAAACAGCGTTTTGGGGAGGTGAAAAGGAAAACGCATGGATTAAGCGAAAAGACGGGGATTATCCCAATGCTGCCCCCAACCCATGCTCCGCTAGGACAGGAAACCACACAAGATAGAAATGACCCCGTTTAAGGCTTGTGAAATTCACAATCCTACATAGATGCGCTGAGACTGAGGAGTCCGCTGCGCCAGGGGTCGGAATGCATCAGGAAAAAAGAGTATTTCTCGGTTATCAAAAAGCTGAAAGGCTTTGTGCTCCAAGGTGGGTTATTAATGCCAGTGGAAGCAGTGAGGATTAATTTCCTTCCCGCCTTGGGTGGCGCGGAGTGGGGAGTGGAAAGCTGCTTTTAAGGTAAAGCATCAGAGGCGCTCCCACGCTCGGGGAACTTGCTTCCTCGCTCAGCGCTAAGGCTGGGCAGAATCTCTGTCCGCGGTGCTGAATCGCACCCTTGTCTGAGGTGGCTCGCGTTGAAGGGAGGGGGTCTAAAGAAACCAAAATACCAACCTTCCCTTGGATTATACAACCCAGAGACTTGTAGAGAAGACTGAATTATAAGAAAATGCCTGGAAAGAAAATAATTAACACAGCTCTAATAATAAGAAGCTTTAATCTGTTCAAGTTATTATACTAGACACATTTATCACAAGGATTAAAAAAAAAACAACTTTAAAAGCAAACTGGGTTTGTTGTTTGGGGCAATTGTATTATATTCAAAAGGTTACTATACTTAACATTTTGCTTCTTTGAAAAACTCATTACTATAAGTAAATATGTTTGCTTTAATTGTAAAGTCATTAGGAAATTGCAATCTGTAATGTCTGAGATAGCCACTCTTCAATAATGGAAGGCCAGAGAAGCTACTTCTTCTGTTCAATACGACTTATTTAAGTGCGTTTTTTAATAGCCTTTTATTAGGTGTATCCATCTCTGCCAATGACCTTTCCTTTTTCAGCAGGAACATGGCAATACTAAATACATAGTGTAAAAAGATGAGAGCCAAGACACATAACACAGGGAGGCCAAGGTAGGCATGGAGTAAAATAGCCAGCACACCCCTTTCCTTTGTTTTTCCTATCTCTTAGCTGATTCAGGATTGCAGATTTCTGGAGAATTACTCATGCATTTTCCTTTTAATAATCATGGCTATTAGACAGATTTCATGTGTGCATAAAACACAATAAGGTAGGGAAAGCCAGCTTACAGAATATGTTTTTTAATGTTAAATATTATATACACTATCCTAAAACCAATTTGATCTGCACTGGACTGAAATCTACATACTCCTTTTAGATTAAATTCTCTTCCTCCAAAGAGACTTGTTAGTAAAATGTTGTAAATACAATGAAAAACAGCTGAGCAGTAATTGCTTCCGTGGTGAGACTGTGGCTAAGTTCTTCCATCGAACAGAAGGTGTCTAGCCTCCTTGTCATCAGCCCTTGTCTGAACTTCTCCCACTTGCCTGGTTGCAGGTCTGCGTGGTACTTTACTGCCTATTCCTGAGACAAAGACAAAGTGTGTGTTGGTTCAGAACTGCTCCCAGGGCTGCTTGCTGTCCTCTTCCCAGCTCTAAAGTCGTCACCAGAGAAGCGATTGTTACAAGCAGCAATTACCAAATGAGTTTTCCTTCCTCCATTCTTCACACCCGATTGTGAGAGGTCTAGTTTGCCCATTTCTTTTCTTTGCCTTCCTGGAATGACAAGCAGTCTAAAGGAAAGAGGGAAAGGTGAGAAACCACAGGAGCACAAGCTACTCCTAGTTCTGACGGGTGTATCCTAGAAACCATGGATCTGCGTTCACCCAGGCGTGAATTGTCTCTCCCAACCTCCTGCTCTAGGGCGCCCTCCACTTGCTCCCCTCCTCCGGGGCCTTCATATTTTCGCTTGCCCAACACGGAAGTGCTGTTGGGACCCCGACAGGAAATCAGGGAGACTAGGCAGCAACTGCTGTGTTTGAATGTCAGACACAGTTCATTCGCTTCGCTCCCTGGCTCTCTACCCAGGGACACCAGCTCTAATTGGAGTGTCCGTCAGTCTGGCTGCTTTCTCTCGTTACTGGAGTACTATGTCAGCCTGCCCGCCCTTAATATTCCGTGCTGCCTTCTTCAATGTTCCGTCCCCGCGGCTGTTCCGTAGCAGCTACTGCTGCAGCCGTCTCTTCCTCCGGAGTGCTCCTGAGTAAATTTGGGGAGGGGCGGGGGGCGCGGGATGAGGTGGGGTCTTCTCCCCTCCTCTCCTCCCTCCTCCTTGCTCTGTACGGTTTCAGGATGACAACCCTACTTCTCCCGGCAGCCAGCCGAAGGGGGAGTCCAGCAAGTCTGGGCGGATTAGGTAGGGAGTGGAGACGCCTCGCTTCCCAGGACACACTCGCCTCGCTCCCAAGCTCCCTCCTCCCCTCTCCGCCTTCTCGGGGTGGAGAGGCTCCCGGAGCTGGAGGGATTAGCCAGGAGGGCGGAAACCACCGCGCGTTCCAGCCGCGCCCGCGAGTTTCCGTGGACCAAGAGGCACGTTAAGATCCAGAAACCCTCACTAAGCCCGGGGAGCCTCGGACACCTGCCAGTTTTCATCCAAGAAAAAGAACGCTGATCATTCCTTCAATTCCACCTGCTTTGGTTCAGCCTCTTAGGACCCCACCCCCCCCTGCCACCCATTTCGGGCTTTCTTTTATATGATTATTAATATTTTTAAAGTCATTCTTGTATCTCCCTTTTTTTCTTTTCTTTTTTCTGAAGGCTGACCTAGGAGGGGAGGGGGGGAACGGGAGGGGAGTGGAGTGGGGTGGGAACGAAGCGCTCTGATTAGAGATCTCCTGGGAGAAGATTGCTCTCTCCAGATGCTGATTTCCAAAGCACTTGACAATCACCGGCAGAATCCGCGAGCGGGCAGCGGCGGCGACACCGGACGGGGGGCAGCTCGAGCCAGGCGCTGAGTTCTGCCCGGCGCGCCCTGGACGCACCGACGCGGAGACCCTGCGGGCGCCGCTCCTCCACCCCTTGCCCTGGAAGAAGGCGGCCAGCTCGCCCTCGCGCCCGGGAGGCGGGCCGGACAGCGAGGCCGCGCGAGTTGCGGCGGCTGCCCGTCGGAGAGAGGGCTCGGGCGGCACGCGGGGTGACCGGCGGCGCCCGCAGCCCCGGGCCCCACTCCCGGCTCCGACGCGGCCGCCACCTCTGGCTCCCGCCGCGCCCCGGGCGCATTTGCGCGCCGGGCCCCGCGCTCCGCGGAGAGGGCGATGGGTCCTAGTGGGGACTGAGCGCCCCTGCGCCCTCTCCCCAGCCCTCCTCTCCGCCTCCCCGAGGGCGAGCCGCCGTCTGCGTCTCCCCGTCTCTCTCCGGGGTCCCTCAGCTCCCTTCCCTCCGTGCCTCCCTCCTCCGGACCCGGGCCGGGGCCACCATGGCCGCGGCCATCGCCAGCGGCTTGATCCGCCAGAAGCGGCAGGCGCGGGAGCAGCACTGGGACCGGCCGTCCGCCAGCAGGAGGCGGAGCAGCCCCAGCAAGAACCGCGGGCTCTGCAACGGTAACCTGGTGGACATCTTCTCCAAAGTTCGCATCTTCGGCCTCAAGAAGCGCAGGTTGCGGCGCCAAGGTCTGTGCTGGGGTTCCCTGTCGGGAGGCGCGCCCTCGGACCTCTCCCATCTCCCCGCCTGCGTGGGGCCTTTTCGGGCCCCCCTCCCGCCCTCGATCTCTCATCTCACACGCGCCGGCTGCTTCCAGTCCGCTTGGAAATGCCAGGAATTTCTGGGTCTGGCCTCTCTGGGTTTCCAGTGCTCAGGGAAACCCGCTGGGCTCCCAGACCTTGGCGGAAGGTGGTGACCCCCGCCTGGCGCTCGGCGGGGGCTGGTGCGAGAGAAGTGAGCGGAGGGTGTGTTTGCCTTGGGAGCCAGCTGGGTTGAGATTGACCAGAAAGCTGCTTAGCGTGCAGCACTGGTCATTCTGAAGTCTCGAGATCGCCTCTTGGGACGAGGAGAGGGGCGCAGAGTAGGAAGAACGCTTCGGAAAGGAGGGTGGGGGGTGGCAAAGAACCCCATACGTGGTAGCCTTGATTCAAGGACTCGAGAATTACACGAGGCAAAAGAAGCAGTTACTATAGACAGATGACGAGAATAGTTGCCTCATTGGACGTATTTTTCGGGAAACAACTAGTGTCCAGCAAGACCTTCTGGTGCTGCCTTTAGAATGACCGGAGTCTCAGAAGGCGACTCACCCCTGAGCTGGAGCTCAGAGGCTTTTGTTCCTTCTGCTAGTTGGCTGGGCATCCAGTTGCTAGGGGAGGTTGTTTGGCGAGCATGTGGGATGTTTCCGTGGGATAAATGGGGATGGCTTGCTTTTCATCACTAAGTGGGCTCGGCAGGAAACACTGAAGAATGTATTTACGTTAATAGGAGTATATGTTTGCCCAGCACTTTATATTCCCGGTGCCCAGCTGTATTTATTTTAAGTTCCCTGTTGTTCCAAAGATGGGTAAGAGAAGCATATGTTTTAGGTGTGTATCTATGTGAGGGTGTGTGTATCCCACACATTTGCAGATTTATGACCAAAAGTTTCAATGCTTCTTTAAACAAAAGCTAAAACTGTATATATATTTTTTAAGCCACTCCTTGTCATAGACAGAAATTAGAGTTACCAGCTCTTAGAATCAAGAAGGCAAATATCTGAGCAGGATCAGAGTGGAAGTTCTAAGGTAGATAAATTATCGAGCTATAAGAGAAGAGACTTCCTGATGAGGAGTTTGGGGACAATGATGTTTTCACACCAGTGTTGAAGCTGTTTAAAAAAAATGGACCTTAATTTTCTTCTTTAGCCTAGAGCCCTATCCAGCAAACCTGGGTTTTATAAGACCAACTGGATTGTTTTAAATGCTGTTGTTCCATGGAGGGTCATGTTATCATGACTTAACCTGTTTGCTTCTCTCCTAATTTCATCTGAATATCTTTTAGGACCCAGTTTTCACCAAATAGAGCTCCAATTCTGCCATCTATTTGAGTAAAGAAGCACATTTCTTCTAGATAGAATTATTTTAATATGAACGATGAGGAAAACTTGGTGTGTTTTCTTTAAATATAAACCAGTGGATTGTTTTATAAATATGAACAATAAATGTTCTGAATCATATGAGTCATGAAGGAAGGTTTGCTTTACACTTGTGAATGTTAGGATGGGGGTAAACTTTTTACCAGAGAAAAAGACATCTGAGCTATCTATTTCAACATTTGTAACCCTGGCTGCTCTCTTGACATTCGTGAGTTTGCAGTGATATGCAAGCCTCAATGATCTGCAAGAAAAATATATTTGAGGGCACTTTTGCTACCTTATTTTTGATGGAAGAATGGAAAAGAAATAGAATAGAAGGAAGTTTCATCAGGACCTTTTCTTTTATCCTTCTTATATATTTTCTATATAAAGACACATATTCTTCAGTGAAGAAAATATAGATAAACCCTTTGAGTATCAGAAAGGAATTATTTTTAATTAAGCAAAATAAATATTGAAACTATATTGTGTATATTGTATATTAATATATAATTACATGGTTTTATATTACTAAATATAATGATACACAATTCTTTTTTAATTAAATATTTCTTTAGAAGATATTTTTAAGCATGTTTACCTTTTCCTCCTGTACTTATCCTTTGCATAGGAACTGACTCAAGGAAATTTTAAAATTCTGATTTCTTGATTTAAAGATATAACTTTTAGGTGTGACAATTTATCATTGTGTTTGAAAATTATTAATTTGGCAAATAGTCATTGAATCTTTATGACGTGTCAAGTCCTGTTCTAGGACTTGTGGAGTGTTGTAAAGAACAGACGATTCTTCTTCCACCAGGGAGATCACAGACGTGAGACAGAAAGTCACTGCAGGTAGCAAAGAACAAGTTAATAAGACATTGCAAAACTCGAGGTCCGGAAATGCACAAGGAGAGTTGAAGGAGAGAACCAGGGGGCAAGGGTGGTGGGAAGGGGTACCTAGTCAGGGCCGATAGACAGGGTGGGAGACACCGAGAGCTACAGGTTGAAGGCTGCCATCTGAGAGGGGATGCCGAGGTTTGAAGAACAATGTGTGTGAAGCCCCTGATGCGGGGATAATCTTAGCCTGTTGGGAGAAGCGGAGGAGGTGCAGAAACTTCAGGTACAATGCCATTTCACGTTACATCTATTTTGTCTGCAGTTTGCTTTTTGACACAGAAATGCAAATACATTTGACTTGTTTGCCAACAAAATAAAGAATAGCTTGATATTTTGTCTTTTGGGGAAAAGTAATATACATATCTTAGATGTAGTGTTTTTTTTTTTTCTTTTTAATCCTCCTTTAAGTAGTAATTTATTTAATATAAAAAGTATGACACATTTATTTATCCCCTTTGGGTCAGGCCTTACCTCCCCACTCTGATCACCTCCTGCCCCCATAGAAGGTTTTTGCACCAGTTGAGTTGCTCCTGGAAAGGATAGAAATTTGCTAGATGGCTTAGTGGTCGTGGTGAGCACCACACCCTATCTTACCTTCCAGACTCATCTCCCTCCACCCGTGAAGTAACTCTTTAGACTCCAAACATCATTCACGGTTCAACCACATGGTTTCAAATCTATGCACTTTAGTTTGTGCTTCACTCGACATAGAGTCTCTCCCTTCACCTGTTGCCCGTTTCTTAAAGCTTGAAAAAAAATGCCAGCTTCTCTGAGAAGTCTTCCCTCCTTGCCGAGAAGTAAGAAGAACTCATTTTATACCTCATGCTTGTTGTTTATGCCCAATAAGAATTAACACAGCACACGTATTCAGTAGTTTGTAGTAGGGAGCAATGTCTCTGTTTTATGCACAGAGATTTCTGTACAGATTTCTGTACAAATCTTGGCAGTGTGTCTGCCATGCCCTGGGTACTTGTCACTGCCCTCGAATTGAATTGAAATAAGGAATGCCAATGTGTCCAAAGATGAAAAAGTGTTTTTGGACCACGGTGCTCTAACTAGACTATTTTAGAAGCAAATATACTTTTCAAAATTTTATATCTTTTTTTTACTTTCCCTAAGAGTACACATATAATCTACCCTTTTTTTTTAAAGGGATTGGAGTGTGATTACATATTTGCAAGTTATTCTCTGCAAGAATATAACCAGCCTCACTTTAAGGCTTAATTAGTTTATGAAAATAGATACTTAGAATATCTGTTGACATAGTTAAAGAAAGAAGGCACAAGGAAACCAACAATTTGCATCTAGCTTTATTATTTGGAATCTCAACAAAAAAAAAGGGAAACTGAAATAGAACCAACCTGTGATGATGTATATGAACATTATATGTTCATATGGTGAACATATATATGAACATTATATCCTAAAATTGTTACATTTTTGTTATCAGTTTTTAAACCAAAGAAGAACTTTCATTTTTGTAGGATAATAACCTTTCAAAATCTTTGGTACAGCTAATGCAATTGTGTTTTGAAATCTTCTATATTTCATTTTTTGGCTGTTGTCATAAGAGCAATGGTGTCATGTGTCATGTACTTATATGTTTAATCAGTAGTTATGTGGGTTTCCCACTAACACATTTTACATAACGAACTACAGGATGTCGTAAGAAATAAGGAATGAAAAATTAGCTACTGAAAATTTGTTTTCAACTTATTCTGTCATATATATATGCACCTATATATATATTTCTTTGCAACATTGTGATAATGAAACCCATCAGCTATCCTAATAAAAGAGCAGTGGACTTCCTTCTTACACGGTATTGTGTAAGGAAGGCCAAGCACACCCTTTCAGAAAATAATCAACAGCAAAGAGTTCTCAATTTTGTCTTACTGCTTCTGAGCCATCACCATTGAAAATAAAAAGACAGCATACTTACTTGGGCTCTTTAGGTCAAAATAAGGAAGGAGTCTTTTTCTCCCAAAAGATCACCCTGTTTTACTTTTGGAAGTATATTTTTTTACTTTTCTAGAATGATGTCTGTGGGAGTCTTCCTACCTATCTTTTGATAATACCTGTTGCTAACTTTGATAAGCAGAGTTTTATTACTTATTAGTTTTATTAAGGCAAGACAAAAATTGTACATTTTCTGTCTTGAAATATCTCATTCTTTAATGAGGGCTATTCTGTCGAATGCAGGGTTTCTAAGTGAAAGATGTTATGGGGATATTACTGAATTGGTACATAAAACAATTTGAAAGGCTTTTTCTTTAATTGACTTTGGTTCCTTATGTATATTTTCTGTGACTTGTTTTGATTTCAGACATTCTACATTTGCTGAAAGCATCTGAAAAAAAAAGGTTAATACCACTCTGGTGCAATAAATTAGTGTTGCAATATATAAAGTATAAGATAGCAGAGTAGGTCAGGTAAGATGCAAGTTAGGTTAAGTAAGTAAGAAGGTTTGCTTTGGGTTATGTTAGATTCATTGCTTGAGTTGAGTTTACATATATTGAGAAAATAGTACTATTAACTGTTAAAGAAATCCTTTGACTTATCTTCAAATATAGAATTTCAGAAGCACCAATTCTCCCCCACACCCCCTACTAGGTTGCCGTTATCACCTACAGATTTCACTTTATATTTCAAATTAGTAGAATCATTGGTGCAGTT